AAGGCGGGCGAACCCGGCCGCCCATCGCCTTGACAACCGCTGAGAGGGATTTCCCCCCTGCCTCCCACCCCTCCTGGGCTCTTGGGGGGGGGGGGGGGGAAAGTGGGTGCCCCCCCCCCCCCCGCCGCCTTCCTCTCTTATCCTCGCCTCACTCCTGGCGTTACCGTTCCCACTCCTCGGGCCATTACCTCCTCGCTGGCTTTCTCCAGCGCTTTGGGGGCAGCCGGCCTCCCCCAAGCCCTGCTCCTTCCAGCCCCGGTTCCCCGGGTGACCCCTAGGGCCCCGGCCTAGACGCTCTCCCCCAAAATCATCAGGGAGGCTGTGACCTGCCCCGGCTGCCAACATGTTTTTACGAGTGTCATCCTCACCACTACCCCCAAAAGAGAAAATCTTTCTGTTTTAAACCCAAACATGGGAAATTTAACCCCCCTCAGAGGCAAGTTTCATGACCCTGAGGTCTTCCACACACATTGTCTTTCAAGGTCCAAACCAGGGTGCAGACAGCCCCTGTTAAGCCTTTGCACCCCTATTCGCTTTACACCTTGTTTCTTTCCAAGCCACCCCCCCACACACACTGAAATGCTTTGCCAATTTAGCTTCTTCTCATTACCCCTCAGGGCTGTCCATCGTGGGGGACATCCACTTGCCACCCATAAATACGCCCCGCCATAGCCTTAGATGCCTCTTTACGTCAAGTTCCTCTCAGATGTATGCAGGTTTCAGTACAATACACTTGCCCAGAGAGTATCTTTAAGCCTGAAGAGAATGGGAAGGAAACGTTAAGAAAAGTTGCTCAGCCCAGCTGCTTGGTTAGTAAAAGTACATGCCACTATCTTTTTCCTTCATAAAACTAAATAACTAGTGCACGGCACAAAAACTGTTTGCTTTCTGAATGTTTACACCTCTGCTTTGGGCATTCCCGTCCTTTAATCCTTTAGGGGTGGGGCAGAGGTATTATTATTTTAATTCCAGCCCCTTATTTTTGTGTGACTACGCCGAGGTGCGGTTGTGAATTCCATGCTGGAGGCTTCCCATGGATACACCGAGCGTCTCTCCCATGTAGGTCTCCAGAGGGCTCACCTGGTACCTTAGAGCTCCACCTAGTGAGTTTTGGGGCATGCTGGAGCAGAGACACCATCATCTCAGTAATTATACTTTCTGATCTTTACCAATCTTTCTGGAAAGGCTCTTCTTTTCAAAGACTTTGCAAGTGTGAGTTTTGTCCCAAGTGAAAAGGCTAAGGCTTCTTACTACCTTTAAAAAAAAACTTTTTGTAATTGGCCTTGTCATTCCATGTCATGAAATTGTGCTACTATTTACCATGGGATAAATTGTCCTAAAAGTTTATTTTCCGTCAAGGAATTCACTAGAAATTTCTAAAAATGAACTACCTTAACTTTTTAAAAGTCACAGTGTAATAAAAAGGTTTGCTAAACCAACAAAATACTCCAATTGCCTTGGCGAGTTGCTCTCTGTCATGTATTGTAAGTGTCATGTTACCTACATACGTTAAGTTACTCTCACAGAAATCAGTACACTTGTGCTTTTTATCTTCCCTCATTCTATGCATTTATAATCTGTACAGTACTGACACTATATAGCACTCAGGAAAGGCTTGATCCAGATATCACACAATCTATCTATGCTTTTGTATACTCCAAGAAAGCAGAAGACCCACCATATCAGGTGTTGTATCTTCTAGCAAGCTTGGTTTTTTTTGTTTTTTTTTTTTAACTGAGATCCTGCCTGATGACCATGAGGAAATACAACGGTGCAATGTTTATCATAGAATCATAGAGTTACCTAGGCTGGAAGGGACCTTTCAGATCATCTAGTCCAACCATCAACCTGACATCACATACAATAAAGAATACAACCTACAGTGCCAGGCTGAATATTTCCAGAAGAGTCTTTTCACCAGTTTTTCCTTGCTAAGGGCCACATCTCAAAAAAGAGATCCTTGTGGACTTCTACCTCTTCGCTTCTGTGCTTGTTTATCATCACCTAACATAGAAT